CTAAGGGCCGCCAATACAGGCCAACAATTATGATATGCTATGGGACGCAACTATTATGGACTATAACACAACAACAACAACTGTGCAACAAGGCATCAAGCCTACAACCAATTATCCATAACAAAAACATCACATTTCGCATACATCACGTACTCACCACTTCAACCTGTTCATGTCAGAGAACAAGTAACAATATCGTTCCTACGAATAAGAGTCCAACACATTTTCGCAGAAAACAATTAAAAACAACATCGTCTCTACAATTGAGAACTCAACATTATTTTCATGTCAGAGAACAACTAACAACATCATTACTACAAATAAGAACTCAACACATTTTGATATACTTTCATACGGGTAATATAACTACAACTTCTAATTTAATTATAGGGACATAATAACAACACCTTCTTAATAAATGGGAAAATAGCGCGTGTCGGCACCGTTTCCCAATTTCCCCCAAAACTAATGGCATAACACACTCATTCATACACAGACATGCATTAACCCTTAGAAATGCACAGATAAACATTAATCCTTAATATTTCTTCAACCTACGGGAACATTTACTACGGGAACGTTACTACGGGAATGTCACTACGGGAACGTCACTACGGGAACGTCACTACGGGAACGTCACTACGGGAACGTTACTACGGGAACATTAACCCTATTATTCAATTCCCTACCTGAAGTCGATCAAGTAAGAGCATAATAACAACCTTTCCTCAACAACTGGGAAATTAGCGCGTGTCGGCGCCGATTCCCAACATTACTACATAGAACTAATGACATAACACTAATTCGGCGTAGACAAACATTAACCCTTAATATTTCTCAACCCACGGGAACATTTACTACGGGAACATTAATACGGGAACGTTACTACGGGAACATTACTACGAGAACGTTACTACGGGAACGTTACTACGGGAACATTAACCCTATGATTCAATTTCCTACATGAAATCGATCATACCCACAGTTATAGAATTGAACCCCACCCTTACCTTTGGAATTGAGGTCAAATATATGCTTCCGGTTCCCGTTAGCTCTCTGGCGACTCTTCTGCAACTACCGTGAATTCTCTCCGGTGGTTACTTCTTCTCTTCTCAACTTCTCTCGATCACGATCTCTTTTTCCTTTGATTTTGGTTCTGAGCAGTTTTAACGTGTTTCCTCTTTCTCTCAAAATTCCTCTTTTATATTTACTCCAATAATAATAATAATAGTAGAAGTAATAATAATAGTAGTAGTAGTAATAATAATAATAATAATAATAATAATAATAATAATAATAATAATAATAATAATAATAACAATAGTAGTAGTAATAATAATAATAACATTACTATTAATTATTAAATTATCACCAATTTTTAATTATATTATATTAATATTAAACTCCAATCGTTATTAAAAATTCTTATAGTCTAAGGGCATCCACCAACGCCACTCAGACACACCTCCGTAAGGACACACCAACATAAAAAAATAATGCCAAGGAGACTAAATAGTTAAAAAGGGTGTTACAAAATTCCTTATGGTTGAAGAGTTGACTTTTTGGTCAACAAAACGATCGATCGATGACTAACGGATTGACTATTGTTGTTCTGGGTTCCCTGAGGCCTTGAAACTTCTTGTGTAGACTTCTTTGGATCATATGAACCTTATGGACCATGATTCAAGCTTTGTAACACCTTTTAAGTCAAAAGTCAAAGTTACAGTTGACTTTTTAATTAGGAAACCCTAATTAGGGTTCTTGCTCTGCACTGACTCAATTTTCTTAGTCGCCACCTCAAATTGGATTTATACTTGACCCAATGGAGTATCTTTGATGATGTACCTCCTCTTCCATGTAGTCCAATGATTGGCAAATTATCTTATTTGGAATGGAAAACCAAGAACCGACCCAATCCTTACCTCGTGAACCCACATGCTCGATATGCAATAGAACGATGTATGATATGACGAATGTAGGGTATAAAAGGCTAATGATGAAAATGAGGGTGTGACAGTTGTCAAGTACAATAAATAGTCCAGGTCATGTATGGAATAAAACTTGGTCATGGTTGTAGAATGATATATTGCACGCACAACATATTTTGTGTTGTAACGTAGGTACTAGATTACACGATATAATTTAACTAATTATTTATTTCATTTTTTGTATGACATGACTTAATTTTACACCAATAATCTTTCTGTATTTTTCTTTTGTTAGGACTACATTTGAATGATGAAGAAATCCAAAATTTGACATTAATTGAAATTGAGAAGATTTTGCAAACTAATAGGCTTACTTTGAAGGATTTAAAATCTATACCATATCCAAACAGTTATGTTTTTGAACAACTTAGTAATCATTTGATATACGAAGAAATAAATTACAATGTTCAAGCACTTAAAACAAAATATTCAACTTTATTTGCATCTCTAACATGTCGTTTCTATAATATGTATAACTACCAAATGTGCAATGTTATAAAGTCAAATTTCTTTATTTTCACTACTGGTCATGCCTAGACTGCAACGTTAATAACAATTCTGATATATTGATCATGCGTTTAATTATATTAGAGTACCATATTTTAGATTTAATTATTTCAACGTGATGCTTTTATTTTGTTACCTTTCCAGCTACGTAATCATACAACATGAGTTTCAAAATGCAATTTTTTCTTTGCAAGTATTAATTTAGGAACTATTTCTTTGAATGTTTTAATTTAGGAATTGTTTAGATTTAAATTCAATTTTAGGTGTAATATAGGAAATATTTCTAGATGTTGTTGTTGTTTCAATTGACTCTCAATATGCAATATTTGCTTCCAGCAACATATTAATTTAGGAATTATTTATTTTAACGTAACAATTGAAGTGTTTTTATATCAATAATGTGTGCCGCGCATCCATAACAGCTTTGAATTGTTTTTTCCAAAATGAACAAAATGCAATTTTTGCAAAGATCATGCAAGCAGTTTCCAACCAAAAAGGTGGGTTTTTTTCCTACATGGCCATGATGGAACTGCAAAAAAGAATTCAAGTTCATAAGTCTTTTTGTGAGTTTATAACCTCACCTCTTTCACCTTCTCAGCACCTCCAAACGATTTTTCAAGAATCTCCTAAGTTTTTCTAAAGTTATCTGGATCAATACATTGATGGATTATAAAGAGAGCTTTATAATCTTTCTTCTTCAATTCCTTGTGTGCAACTTTTTCTTAATCCCTCGTGTTTTCTGCAAGCGGTGTTACTCTTCCTTCACAAGATCCCAAAGATATTGATAACATAAATCTACCTTAATCTTCTTCCATTGATTCTCATAATTATCTTTCTCGAGAATTGGAAGATTTTCCAAAAAGTGTCAGTTTGGATGATTCATCGCCATCACGATTTTCCTTTCTTGAATCGCAACCAGAGCTCTAAATACTATATATTGGAAATCCAACCACAACCTATGGAGAACTCCTATTCAGTCTTGATCTCAAGATTGTAATCAATTATGCAAAGACAATGAAAATATTTAGAAAGAAAGAAAGTAAGGTTGGAGAAGAAGCTAAAAATTCTGCAAAGTTCTCTCGACCCACAACTGTGGAATTTTATTATCACTTTGCAACTACAAAACCGTGATTATCAAACGTCATTATTACAATGACAAGTGTTTGTTTATAAATTTAGGATAACTTGCATCTCAAGCTAAAACGCAAACTATAAAAGTTCAAAAATATCTAATCTAATTTTTCTAAATCAAATATGATCTTTCTGTGTGGAATCACATACTATCACATATTATCAGTCTGACACTTGAATTATTTGTGTCACGTCATCTAAATTTTTATGTGTCATACTCCAAAACTCTTCTTCACTTAAAAAAGAAAATATAGTGGATATTTTCTATGAAAGGTTGTTAAAAAAAATATAATGATTATATTTGTCAAATAAAATTTACAAGTACATTATAATATAAATGTATTAATTATATTTTTTAAAAAAAATAAAAATAAATTAAAACTCAGTAAAAAATAACACTCAACTTTTTTAGTTATAGTTTAATATATAAAAAATTGAATGTTTTCCTTTTAACAATTTCAAAACTTAAAATTTGAATATAAAATATTGTGCATCACATGATACATATGTAAATAATTTAAAATAAATATCTAAATAAGATACATGTATAAAAAAGAAATGAGAACGAAAATAAAAATAAATCACCGATTATATATTTTATAATTACTTAAATTTATAAATATAAATTTTATATGTCACTCTCAATTTACTGACTTATATTTTTCTTATTTTTCGTTAATTCATATTATCGTTCAAAAAATATATATTATCTGTATTTGTCAAAAGAAATTCACAATACATTTTTATAATATAAAAATATTAACTATGATTAAAAAAATTCTACAGTAATTAAAACTCAAGATAAAAATAAAACTAATCAACATCTACGGTGTAGGTCTCAATCTAATAAAATATTGTAACTATTTATTGAAAACTTGTTCAAGAGAGATGGGAAAATTGGGTATCATTTTTATAAATTATTTGCATCAAAAAAGAATGTTTTAAAAATATTTTCTTATCTTTGTATCTATCCCAAAAAAAATAGAAAAGTTTTGTATGAATAATATATCTATTATACTCAATGGTTTAAGGGTTCTATCCATTGCATGCAGAAAAAACCAAAAATATTCAATTTTAATTCATATATAATATCATTGACATTGCGAAACTATTGGAAAAAAATCAAATTTAATGGTTTATATGAAATTGGCCTTCCATTTGTCAAGGAGGATCAAGCAATAAAAATGGAAATAAATTTTGGATGATAAAATTCACTACCATTTTGTGAGGTCAAAGTTACCAACATTCCCTTTTTTCTCTATCATAATCTATATATAAAGAATACAATTATGTCAACTATTCTAATTAAACTATTTTCTTACCCCATTTATTGTAGGAAGGAAGAGGGTTCTTTCCATTTGACAGAGAACCATCATGGCAAAATTGTACCATCTCTTCCTTTCTACCATTTTAGTGGTAATCATACCTTCATTAGTGCATGCTAATGTCAAAGAACAAGAATCATACATGAATAATATATTACCATTTATTAATGATACATATTGGCGGGGAAAAGCATCGGATGCTGAGAAAGCAAACAACATAGCTTATACACCCGATCCATATGCAGTCTCTGAAAACATGACTTCTGGTGTTAGCGAGTGAGCTTTGTTCAATTTTTATATTTATTAATAAAGTTATAAGTCTGATCTGTCATATTTTAATATTTTTTTTTTATATAAACAGGATGATAACTGAGGGAAATACAGGAAGAAGGAATCTGACGGAGAAAAAACTAGTAAGAGGCCGACCATGTTTGGCTACAAACCCCATTGACAGGTGTTGGAGGTGTGATCCTAATTGGGAAACAAATCGCAAGAAGCTTGCAGATTGTGTGCAAGGTTTTGGAAGAAAGACTACTGGTGGAAAAGCCGGTCCTATCTATGTGGTAACCGATCCCTCAGATAATGACATGCAAAATCCACGTCCAGGTACTCTTCGGTATGCAGTTACAAGAAACGGACCTTTGTGGATCATCTTTGCTCATAGCATGGTCATTAGGCTCAACCAGGAACTTATAATGACAAGTGACAAGACCGTTGATGGACGAGGATTTAATGTGGTCATTGCTAAAGGTGCTGGTTTTACTATTCAATTCATCAGGAATGTGATAATCCATGGGATCAAAATTTTTGACATTCAAGTTGGTAGTGGGGGACTTATAAGAGATGCTGAGAACCATTTTGGTCTAAGGACTCAGAGTGACGGTGATGGAATTTCAATTTTTGGCTCCAGCAATGTTTGGATCGACCATGTTTCCATGAGAAACTGCAAAGATGGGCTCATTGATGTCATTATGGGATCTACTGCCATTACCATTTCCAATTGCCATTTCACAGATCACAACGAGGTAATTAGTAAATTGGTAGATTTCTTGTACATATTTTTGCTTGTAAAAATAATTATTCATGAGTTTGAAATGAAATATATTGCCTAATTTTGAGTTTTTTTGTCTGTTTGTGTATATATGATGTATATAGGCGATGTTATTTGGTGCAAGTAACGACTATGATGGTGATAAGAAAATGCAGATTACACTTGCATTCAACCACTTTGGTAAGAGATTAATCCAAAGGATGCCAAGGTGCAGATATGGTTTTATCCATGTGCTTAATAATGACTACACTCATTGGGAAATGTATGCCATTGGAGGTAGCCAAAATCCTACAATTATAAGTGAGGGTAACCGATTCATAGCCCCTAACAACCCCAATGCTAAACAGGTATGCATCTGCTCACGATTCATGCTTAGCTATATTAATATATGCTTCACATGTTCTAGTTAAGCCTTGGTAAACACATTTATTTGTTAAACTCTTAATATTAATATATTATCATGTCTTAAATACTAATTTCATCCTTACTTTTCAGAATAATCTTAAAGAGTTCCCTATAAAATATTGCTTTTCTCCTTTATTGTCCTTTCACATGACATGATTTAGCAAAACAAAGGAATAAAATTAAATTTATGAAACTAAAATGAAAACTAAGTCTCACATTTTACTTTGGTGTTGAAGATAACAAAGAGGGATTACGCACCAGAGTCAGAGTGGAAAAATTGGCAATGGAGATCAATCAACGATGTCTATATGAACGGAGCATTTTTCGTTCAAGGAGGACCTGAGCTGACTAACCGACCATTCTCAGAAAAGGACATGATCAAATCTAAACCTGGAACTTATGTGGGAAGGCTTACTCGTTATTCCGGAAGCCTTAGATGCAGAAAGGGAAGCCCTTGTTAGTCTTTAAAATTCCCTTCTTGAAGTTAACAACCATTAAGCATCAACATTCACTATAGTAGGCAGGAATAAGAAAATGGTTTCATTGTTCATGTTTCTGCAATTCCTACTAGATCATGTCCTTTTAAAGTCATTGTTAGTCTTGGGGACATGATAGAATTAATTAAAATATTAGATAATCTAGATTGATTGTTAGTAATCATAAAGTATTCAACTTCCTAGATTAATGTTTATACATTAATCGTTCAATGTATTTATTGAAACATAATCATAAATACAAGAAATGTGATATATCTAAAGACACACGGTTTACAAAATTCTATATAGTATTAGTAACGATCCATCATATGGTAGCTCTAACTTTTTTTTATTGAATATATCCTATGTCCAGTCATTGTTTACCCCCGTTAATGTCTCTATCCTCTCGCCCTATTTTGGTGATTAAAAAATGTTGTCATTATTAAAAATACATGCAATTAAGGTTACATTCTTTATAATTTAGAATTGAATTTTGAATTACAAATTGCCACATCTTTTCGCGAATACATGACAAACTACTTAAGTGATATTTAGTAGGGTTTACATGGATCATAAACTAAATCAAATTGAACCATATATGTGGTTTGGTTTTGATCTTGAAACTGTTTCTATAAAACCGATTTATTCTTTTAAAACCGATTTATAAATGAGTCGGCTCAGTTCTAAACCGGTTTTTAATGATAACCAATTTTTTTAAAATCCAATTTTAAATTGGTTTTTCTAAAAACTAATTTTTTACTTTCTTTAAAAAAACCAATTTTATAAAGAAAATAGTTTTAAAACCAGTTTTTAAAAAAATCAATTTTATATCAAAAATAGTTTTGTTTTTATTAACTAGTCTTTTTATTTTAACTAATTATAAAACTAATATATATCAAAAATATTTATTTAAAAAAATTGCTTTTAATAATGTGATTAGAAGGCGTGGTATTCAAAATTTTCCTTAGACAATATATATGCAAACACTTTCTCATTGAGAAAGTGAATTTAAGTTAAATCCCTTCATTTAAATAACAAAAAACAATTTAGTGGATGCAATCAACTAATAAAATATATGTATAATATATTATAAAGCCTACTTAAATCCACTAAAAAGAATTGAAATATAAAATCTACTTTAATTGATCAAATACAAGTTACTTTATAAAAGTTATAATGTTAGACAAATTTTAAAAAATATTACACATTTAAACTTCACACAAAACAGTCTTAAGAATTTAAACTACATAGAATTGAATTTAGAATTACATAAAGAATTTTGAATTGAATTTAGAATTACAAACTGCCACCTGTGCTTTTGGCGAATACATGACAAATTATTTAAGGGGTATTTTGTAGGGGTTTGCATAGAACGCTAAACCAAAGTATAATATTTTTCATTTCACCCAGTGTAACAAAAATATATAAAGAATATTCACGAGTCATGCTTAGCTATATTAATATATGCTTTACATGTTCTAGTTATGCCTTAGTAAATACATTTATTTGTTAAATTTTTAATATTGATATATTATCAGGTCATAAATACTAATTGCATCCTTAATTTTTAGAACAATTTTAAAGAATTTCCTATAAAATATTTTTTTCCTCTTTCATTGTCCTTTCACATGACATGATTTAGCAAAACAAAGGAATAAAATTAAATTTATGAAATTAAAATGAAAACTAAGTCTCACATTTTACTTTGGTGTTGAAGATAACAAAAAGGGATTACTCACCAGATATGAAAAAAATTGGCAATAGAAATCAATTAACGATGTCTATATGAATGGAGCATTTTTCGTTTAAGGAGGACCCGTGCTGACTAACCGACCAGTCTCAAAAAAAGACATGATCAAATCTATGTCTGAAACTTATGTGAGAAGGCTTACTCGTTATTTCGGAAGCCTTAGATGCAGAAAGGGAAGCCCTTATTAGTCTTTAAAATTCCTTTCTTGAAGTTAACAACCATTAAGGATCAACATTCACTATAATAGGCAAGAATAATAAAATGGTTTCATTGTTCATGTCTTGCAATTTCTACTAGATGATATCCTTTTAAAGTCATTGTTTGTCTTAGGGACTTGGTAGAATTAATTAAAATTTTAGATAATCTAGATTGATTGTTTGTATCATAGAGTATTCAAATTCCTAGATTAATGTTTATGCATTAATCATTCAATGTATTTATTGTAACACAATTATAATTATAAGAAATGTGATCTAACTAAAGACACATAGTTTATGAAATTTTATATAGTATTTGTAACGATTCATCATAGCTCTAAATTTTTTATTGAATATATCTTATGTCCAGCTATTGTTTATCCTCGTTCACGTCACTATCCTCTCACTCTATTTTGGTGAATATAAAATATTGTCATTATTAAAAATACATGCAATTAAGGTTACATTCTTTCTTTCTACGTAAAGAATTTAGAATTGGATTTTGAATTACTAATCGCCACAAGTGCTTTCGGCGAGTATAAGACAAACTACTTAAGGGGTATTTAGTAGGGGTTTGCATGGATCATAAAACAAACTAAATTGAACCATATATATGGTTTGGTTTAGATCTTGAAACTGTTTCTATAAAATCGATTTATTTTTTTAAGACCGGTTTATAAATGGGTCGGTTAAGTTCGATTTTTCATAATAACCAATTTTTTAAAAAAAAAATTCAATTTTAAACCGGTTTCTTTAAAAACTAGTTTTTTAATTTGTTTAAAAAAAAACCAATTTCACAAAGAAAATAGTTTTAAAACCAGTTTTAAAAAAAAATCAATTTTATATCAAAAATAGTTTTGTTTTCTCTAAATAGTAATTTTATTTTAACTAATTTATATTAAAAATATTTATTTAAAAAAGTTACTTTAAATATGGCTCTTATAATCTCCACTCAACACAAATATATATATATATATATATATATATATATATATATATATATATATATATATATATATATATATATATATATATATATATATATATATATATATATATATATATATATATATATATATATATATATATATATATATATATATATATATATATATATATATATATATATATATATATATATATATATATATATATATATATTTAATAATGTGATTAAAAGGCGTGGTATCAAAATACATATGCAAACACTTCTTCATTGAAAAAGTGAATTTTAAGTTAAAAGTATATAACAAAATATTTATTCTTCTAAAAGATGTTTTAATTTGATCCATTAACAGCTTATCTTAATACAAATATTTATCCATAGATTATTTCTAAATATAAAGTTTTTTTTTTTCACTTTCAAGAAAATCCCTTCATTTAAATAACAAAAAAGAATTTAGTGGATGAAATTTACTAATAAAATATATGTGTAATATATTATAAAGCCTACTTAAATCCACTAAAAAGAATTGGAATATAAAATATACTTTAATTGATAAATACAAGTTAATTTATAAAAGTTATAATATTAGACAAAGTTTAAAAAATATTACACATTTAAACTTCACACAAAACACTCTTAAGAATTTAAACTACATATTATAATTTAGAAATAAATATTAATTTACCTGATCATAGTAAAAAGAGGGAAATTTTTATGTAAATGCATGTTATGATTAAAGTCTGCAATTCACTCAAACTAAATATATAACATGAAATTTAATTACCTAAGCAACATATACATAGATATCGTAGTATAATGAATCTCAAAAGAAATAAAAAACATTTGAGCGCCATTCATTCTCTTTTACCAAAAGAAAAGTAACAATAAGTATATTTAAAGAAATTATTTAAAGAAATTATATAAATTGGTTAACTTGAATAAATGCTTTTAATACTAAACATTTATTTAAAGTAATTACATAACTAATTATAAAATCAGTTTATGTCAATTTTCAATTTTTTTTCATTTTAAAAAAAACCTGATTTTTTTTTATAAAATAATATTCTTTTATGAAATTAAAAAAAAAACTTTAAAAATTTTAAAATATATAATTAGTTTATAATGTGTATATGATGAAATATGAAAAGAAACAAACATATAAATTTAACACATAATAAAATTTGGGTATCCAATAACTAAACCACATTAATAAAATGAAAAGAAACAAACATATAAATTGTGTTTTACAATTGATCAATCTAGAAACTAACATGGCTGTGTGTTTTACAATTGATCCATTTTGGTTGAGTTTTATAATTGATCCATCTGGATTGTGTTTTGGCATGAACACACAAATTACTTCAATAGCTTTCTTGTGTTTTACAATTTATCCATCTAGAAACTAACATGGTCATGTGTTTTACAATTGATCAATCTGAGTTGTATTTTATAATTGATTCATATGGATTGTGTTTTGGCTTGAACACCCAAATTACTTTAATAACCTTCTTATCATATGGCAACTTGATTAGCTCTCATGTATAATTTTTTTAAACTTTAGTTAACTCTTATTTTATAGTCTTTTTTCCTACCCTATTCATCAAGGCTTCATGATGGTTAATAGGATCAACATCTTCTATTAGTGTCACATGCACCAAATCACCTTCTTTTGTCACCTCATTGTCATTGTCTAGTTCACAATCTTAAAGCGTTATTCAAATGTTCCTAGTTCTTTGTAGTCTTTCAACAATCTTAACATTTGGTGCTTACACTTCTTCTATTGATGAATAATCACTATTACCGAATAATGAGCTTGTATAAGACTTGCTTAATCTACTCACTGATTTCCAATACAATGATATCATCACATCATTATTGATTGAAATCCTTTGAGTGGTATAATCATATATTTTGTAGGCATTGGTTGCATGATATCCAGCTAGAATCACTGGTGCACTTTTGTCATCCAACTTACTTCTCTTTCCATCCGGGATATGTTTGTCACATACTTGTCACATAGTGCATCAAATTCAAATGATGCAACTAAACCTCTTATCACTCCAAAATTTCTCATGTACCATATTTTTTTCCT